TTTTTTTTTTTTTTTTTTTTTTTTTTTTTTTTTTTTTTTTTTTTTTTTTTTTTTTTTTTTTCTTTTTTTTTTTTTTTTTTTTTTTTTTTTTTTTTCCTTGGTCCTTTGTGTGTTTTTTTCTCTGGCCGTAGGATAGCTGCGTAGAAATAGGTGAATAAGAGCGATAGCTTGCATCGGAAGGCTGCGATTCTTGAGCGGGCACCACGACTACATTAGAACAGAACGCAGGGGATTCTATTCATCAGACCACCGTGTGGTTAATGGCTCTAGCAGCAAACGAGGCTACCGGTTTCCACGATTGCCAAGGGTTGGGTAGAACGGCGGGCGGCATTAACTTCTTCGCCGACTAGGGCTTGAAAGAGGAGCAGCAGGAGATGCAGGAAGTCATAATGTTCCTGGCAAACGGCACCCTCCCGGTTCTACTTTCATATCCCAGTGCCTGAGCACTCTGGGGCCGAACGTCATGCATACTACCTCTACCTGCCCTGCCGAGCCTGGTCTGCCCCGCTTATCCCCCTCTGTGCCAATGCGAAACACCTCGTTCATGCACCTTCTCCTCCTTGCCTTGCTTCCCCGCGTGCTACTTATTGCATGTCTTTCTGAGGGAGTTTTTCACCGTTTATCGGCAAGACGCTTTGTTTTTTTAGTCGGCTGCACCATTTGCTTCGCAACCCTCTTCCTCGCCAGCTGCAATTGCCACTTTTTTGTGTTGGGCGATGAAGGGTGGCTTGGTTATTAGTCAGGTGACGAGCGTAGCGGAGAGCGGAGCGATGGAGCATACACCAATGATGGAGGCTTCGATATGCGCCTTTTTGACCTTTCTCTCTTTCCTCTCCTTCCTTTCCTTCCTCTACTTCATCTACTCCTTTCCCTGCTCCCCTCCGCATGACCCCTCGCTCCACCTCCCCCCCACCCCGACCCTCAACCCTCGACCCCACAACCCTCCATCCCTGTCTCACTGCACCCCTTTTCGTAACCCGATTACCCCCCCGTCTTCCAGAGATCGTCGAAGATGTCCCCCCCTTTGATGACGCCCCACGTGGCATGATGCAGAAAAGCGTTTTAGGGAATCGCCACGCCCTTCCCGCAGTTCGGTGAGATGATCCACGTGGATGCAGGAACGCACTGGATCTTGAGGATAGAGTTGAAGCGGGATATAACTGTTTTCCCCCCATTTCCCCCACTCCCCATTCCCCGTTTCCTCCCCCCCCTCCCACCGCCCACCCTCCTCCTTTTTTTCCCCATATGGAACCACGTGAACGATTGGCAGCAGAGGAACGGGGTGGAAAATGTATTTCGTTCTTGTTACAGATGAGACTATTCGGTGTGATCTCTGGTTGTCTTTGGATGTATGCCATTGGACTAGCCCTCCTTTCTCTCGTATGGTGTCTGGATGCACCCCAATCTCTCCTCACGTTTTGGATGTAATGGAAACATCGCTTGCCTTTTTTTCCCTCCTCTTCTTCTCTCCTTCCTCTCTCCCTTTCTTTCGTACCTTCACCTCTTTCTCTCCTTCTCTCTCGATTGTTTCTCTTGTCCTCTTCCCTCCTCCCGCTCTCTTCCCCCCTTTCCCGCCTTCCCTTTAATTGGATTTTTTTCCCACTGTAGCCAGTCGATATTTTTTTCACCT